ACCAAAGAGGGCCATGGAGTCCATGGCCACCACTTGCCTGTGCTGGTTTGAGGGACCCTGGTGGTGCATCTGTGACCTCAGAGTGTGTTGGCTTTTCTCCCCTCCCTCCCTCCCAGTCCAAGCTGGAGACCAGGGAATATCGGGACGCTCAGGAATTCGCGGCCGACGTGCGGTTGATGTTCTCCAACTGCTACAAGTACAACCCTGCAGACCACGAGGTGGTGGCCATGGCCAGGAAACTGCAGGTAAGGACCATGAGCGTCAACGTCTCGACTCGTGTCGCTCCCTGGGGGTCGCGTGGGCCTCAGATGACCTGGAGAAGTGTCAGTGTGGGAAATGATGGTTAAAACTGGCACTTTGGTCATGGAGGAGATGCCAGGAATGAGCTGTCCTGGCGTCCAACCGTCCTCTGGGGGAAGAACCTTCTCCCAGTGTCCAACCTGAACCTGCTCCCAGTGTCCACCCTCATTCCTGACACGCTCCAACCAAAGCTGATCCAAGAAGATCTCAAAAAAACCTGGGAAAATATGACTTTGAAACGAGCCCTACCCTTCTTCCTGGGAATTTTCCCCCCCAAACCATCTTGGTTAGGACTCTATGTGGCCTCAGAGCCCTCAGGAGACTCTGCTGATTCTGGTGTGGAGGAGCCCCTGGAGATGCCACCAGGCTGGTGGTGTCCTCCTCTCCAGCTCTGTCCCCTCTCCGCAGGACGTGTTCGAGATGAGGTTCGCCAAGATGCCGGATGAGCCGGAGGAGCCCGTGGTTCCTGCCTCTTCGCCCGTGGTGGTGCCACCACCCACCAAGGTGGCTCCTCCTTCCTCCAGCGACAGCAGCAGCGACAGCTCCTCCGACAGCGACTCCTCGTCCGACGACTCCGAGGAGGAGCGAGCGCAGCGGCTGGCAGAGCTCCAGGAGCAGGTACGGCGGCTCCGGCGCGGCCTGGGGCTGTCCAGGGCCACCGGGGGACTTTGGGGACCTCGTGGGCCTCCGTGGTCATGGCTCCAGTTGTGCCCAGCAGGAGCTCCACGGGCGGTGGGTTCGGAAGGACTGGGGGAGGTTTGGGGTGGTCCTTCCAAGGAGGACACAGGAGGTGGTGCCCGTGGTTAGGAGTTTGTTGTCTGCACCTGGGGAGGTGTTTCGGTGATGGTGGTGTTGGGTTGGGCTTGTTGGGCTTGGAGGTCTCTTCCGACCCTGGTGATCCTGAGATTGATGGTAGTGGTTGGACTTGATGATCTCAGAGGTCTTTGCCAACCTCGGTGACTCCTGAGGTGGCAGGGGATGTTTT